ATCTTAGAAGTACAAAACAGCTTTCTTAGATGTAACATTTAGTAATTGTATCACTTTTCTATGGTAATGTGGTCATTTGTTTCTGTAGTTTTTCTTAAGTCCATATGCTTACTAATATTTTTAGGTACTCTTCAAAAATATATATCCATACTATAAGCATTTATCTCTTGATAAAAATAATGAACTTAGCCCCTGCCGGATGGCTCAATTGTTGTTGGAGTGCCATCCTGTACACCAAAAAAATGCAGGTTCAATTCCAGGTCAGGGCATATACCTAGGTGTCCAGTTGGATACCCCCTTGGAGTACATACACATATAGAAGGCAATTGATCAATGTTTCTCTCTCACACATCTCTCTCTCTCTCTCTCTCTCTCTCTCTCTCTCTCTCTCTCTCTCTCTCTCTCTCTCTCTCTCTCCCTTTCTTCTTCTTCTTCTTCTTCTTCTTCTTCTTCTTCTTCTTCTTCTTCTTCTTCTTCTTCTTCTTCTTCTTCTCGCTCTAAAATCAGTGAACATATTCTTAGGTGTAGAAAAAATAATCAAAATAATGAACTATTTTAAAAATTCTAATGCCCTAAGTGTTTGGAGTATAATTGTTCTTAATATTTCTTAGATCTGGCTCTACCCTGATTTGGAAAACAGTGTGAATTGTTGAGCAGCTGGCACAGCTGGTGAAGAGGTTTCAGGATCCCCAAAACTCCAGATAATTAAATGTCTGCTGGGTACTAGATGTTTTGTGCTTTTTTTTTTTTTTTTTTCTTTAAATGTGGATGTTAGGACAGAAGATGCAGTTTGGAAAGCAAAAGCTAGTTTCCTGTAACTAATTTTCCACCATAGTCTCTCAAAATGCTTATCAATAGCAAACTAGATTAAAATAAGCTGAATTAATGCTGTCAAAATAAACACAGAGTGAACTATTTTTTAAAAAATTATTTTCCCCATAATTTGTTGCATTTAACAGATAATTCACTTATTTCTAATATTGAGGAATAGATTTACTTACTGAAAAAATACATTTTTTCAAAGTCACTATTTAGCATCCTTAATTTATTTTTTATATATTTTTATTGATTTTAGAGAGGAAGAGGGAGAGAGAAAAAAAAATCAATGATGAGAGATAATCATTGATCAGCTGCTTCCTATAACCCCCCTACTGGGGATTGAGCCCACAACCCAGGCAGGTGCACTTGACCGGAATTAAACCTGGCACCCTTCAGTCCACAGGCCAACACGCTATCCACTAAATCAAACCAGCTAGGGCTTTACTTGAAGCCTTAGAAGTTTATATATTGGAGCTAATTTCCAGTTATTTGAGAAAATCTGACTGTGCTTACCATTGTGATACAATTAGCAAACAGCAAAGGGTTAAAAAATAATTGAGACGTCCTTCTCTGAGTATAGGTGATTTTCATTTCTAATTAAATATAGACTGCTACACTTCAGTCACACATTTACTGACAGTGGCCCCTCATTTTGAAGATGGGACAACTGAGACCCAGAGAATCTCATTAATTTCCCAAAGGGAGTCAAGACTAGAATTCTCATATGCTTAGTCCTAATCTGATGCTTTTTCTTACCATGATCCTTTCTTTGCCTTAATCATTGCATTTCTGACACAAAAATCGATTCTACACAATAAAGTTTTTGTTTTATTTATAACTAGATTTTCTTAAAAACAGACTTCAGTTTTAGACCAGTTTTAGATTCGCAGCAAAATTCAGCATACAGAACAGAGAATTTATATTTATCTCCTGCCCCACACCCCACAGACATAGCCTCCCATATTATCAACATACCCCAATGGAATAGGACACTTGTTACAGTTGATGTGCCTAAATTGACTCATTATCACCCAAAGCCCATAGTTTACATCATGGTTCACTCTTGGTGTTGTACATTCTATGGATTTGGACAAATGTATAATGACATGTATTCATCGTTACAGTATCATACAGAGCATTGCACTGCCCTAAAAATCCTCTGTGCTCCATCCATTTATCCCTCCCCCAACCCCTGACCTTTATACTGTCTCCGTAATTTTTCTTTTCCCCGGAATATCATATAGTTGGACTCCTACCATATGTAGCTTTTTCAGATTGGCTTCTTTCACTTAATAATAAGCATTTAAGGTCCATGTCATTTCATGACTTGAACAATCATTTCATTTTTTTTTATTTTTTTAATATATTTTATTGATTTTTGTACAGAGTGGAAGGGAGAGAGATAGTTCAAAACATCAATGAGAGAGTCATCGACCAGCTGCCTCTTGCACACCCCCTACTGGGGATATGCCCACAATCAAGGTACATGCCCTTGATCGGAATCGAACCCAGAGCCCTTCAGTCCCCAAGCCGACGCTCTATCCATTGAGCCAAACCAGTCCCGGCAATCATTTCATTTTAGAGTGAATATATTCCATTGTCAAGACTTATTCATTCACCTACTGACAGACATCTTACTTGCTTCCGAGCTTTGACGGTTATGAATAAAGCTGCTTAAAGCATCTATGTGACGGTTTTTGTGTAAACATAAGGTTTCAAGGAGTATAATTGCTGGGTTGTGTGATAAGAATATGTTTGGTTTTGTAAGAAACTGCCAAACTGTCTTTGAAAGCGGCTGTAGCATTTTGCATTCCCAAAAATGAATGAGAGTTCCACATTCTTGCCAGCATTTGGTGTTGCAGTGTTTTGGATTTTGACCATTCTAATGCATGTGTAGTGGTATCTCATTCTTATTGCAGTTCACTGATGGGATATGATGTTAAGCATCCTGTATAATAAAAGGCTAATATGCAAATCAACAATGGCAGGACAGGTCACTATGATGCACATTGACCACCAGAGGGCAGATGCTCAATGCAGGAACTCCCCCTGGTGATCAGTGCACTCCCACAGCGGGAGCACCACTCAGCTGACCAACCCAGTGGCCCAGCAGCCCGGTGGCAGCCACTCACTCCCTCAGTAGTCCTCCAGGTCCAATTTCCAGAGAACAGGCCAGGCACCAATGGACCTGTGCAGCCGGCACAATCCCAACAGCACTGCTGGCCTCCTGGAAGGTGGCTTCGGGCACCACAGCTGTTTCCCCTCCCTAGATGATCCTCCAAGAAGAAACTATATAAAAGCGGCCGCCAGGTGACTCCCGACAACCAGCACAAATGTCAGCGGGATAGATCCGGACCCGGGCCAGCAAGGGCATCCCACCACCTGTCCTACCCCACACCCCTCGGAATGGGCACCAGAGGCACAGGTCACAGCTGGCAAATGCTGCTGCAGCAACACAAGCCTCTCCCAATCCGGACTGACTGGGGCCGGGATGAGCGGGAACAGCAGGCAGGAGTGGCAGGCAGCATTGGACTGCAGGTTTCATCCCGATCCCCACAGGCCACCTTGAGGGACCCCACCTGTGCACAAATTCATGCACCAGGCCTCTAGTCTTTTCATATGCTTCTTTGCCATCTGTATATTTAATATGGTAAGGTGTCTATTCAGGTCATTTCCCCATTTTTTTTTTTAAATCAAGTTGTTCATTTTCTTATTGTGGAGTTTTAAGAATTCTTTGTATATTTTGGATAACAGTTTTTTACCAGTTATGTCTTTTGGAAATACTTTTTCCCAATCTGTGGCTTATTTTTTTATTCTCTTGATAATTTGGTTTTTTTGTTTGTTTGTTTGTTTTTGTTTTGTTTTTTTGTTTTGTGTGTGTGTGTGTGTGTGTGTGTGTGTGTGTGTGTGTGTTTAGTAATATGAAATTTGGTGCATATTATATTTGGGGAGGAAAGTAATAGTTGTGTCATCACTGTGTAGATAAAGAGATCTCAACACTATTTAGTACTTTTTCTGTAATAGGAAGCCCTAAAATAGACACTGGCTACCTGAAGCATGGCTTTATATTTTCAATGACAATTCTGTCACACTGCCACTTTGTATTAAACAGTGATGTAAGTCTATTTAAATGAATGAGGGAATAGTTGTCCATGTTATGTCTCACCTGATGAGATGATGATGATGATGATGACAACGACAATGATGATGATGGTGATGATACCAGCTAACATAGATTGCCAGGCTCTTTCTCAACTGATTCCATGTTAGTAGCTCATTTAACAAGTAACTCATTAAAGTAGAAACTAGTTCTTTTCATTTTAGAAATGAAGACAGTGAAATGCATTCTGGTTAAGTAACTTGATGTCAAATTCCTGATCACGGAGAAGGGAGGATTAGAACCAGGCTGTCTGATTGTAGATAGAGCACATGACCTTAACTACTACTGTAGTTCGCATCCATTAAAGTAATTTGGCGCTTCTTCCCACTTCTCAATATAAATATAATTCCTGGCTGTTATAATCCTAGGCCTTGATCAGGATATTATAATCCTTTATCATTTAACTATCATCTTAATCCACCTGGCATAGTTGTAAGTTATTGTGGGAAAATATTATGTGGAAATACCATTAGATTTCTAAATATAGATGGTCAGTGAGACATGGGGCACAGAATGTTCACTGCTGTTGTTGGCTGTTCCCATTCGCACTGTAAGTCACACAGAGAACTTGAGTAACAATTTCTTTTCCAAAAGGAAGAGTTCTAAAGATGGCATTTTCCCTGTGCTTGCCAATAATGTTAACCAGTTCGAGCTGATTGTTCTGCTACCTAATGAATTTTCTAGGAGTAAGTGACCAAAAATCTGTAAGAAATGCATCACTATTCCATTTCTAGATATTGTACATTTCTCAAGGGATTCGTTTGCATACTGTTTTCCCATTAGCATATGCTTTAGGTTCACTTTGTCATTCCATATGTTAAAACAATTAAAACAGACAAGATCCACACAAAGGGCATTTCTTTGTCAGCAGAGCAGGAATTGGTTCATTTATGAAAAATGTTCATGCAGAAGCATTCTTATTGAAAAGATCCCGAGTGTGTTTCCTGTTATTCACATATAACGTGTGTCAGGCACCCTGCAGAACTAATTAAAATAAGGGTTTGTGTGTGTGTCATTGTAGGCTAGAGGTAAAGAAAGACAGTGGCTCAGACACCAAGCTACTGGGGAACTCGATGACGCCAAGATCATTGATGGGCTGACCGGAGAGAAAACCATCTACCGACGCCGGGGTGATCTGGAGCCGCAAGTAAGTGACAGTGGTGGAGGCGCCTCCGATCTACAGAGCTTGGCCTTCTCTATGGACGGCTGCTTTCTTGAGTTGCTGTCCTTGTCAAAACACCACAAACCCTGAATGTGGCAACCAAGGAAAGCATTGTGTTCAAAAAATTAGGGAAAAAATAAATATTTTATTAATTTATGATTCAAGATCCCAGCATGAGTCAAGAAATACCAGGCAGGCACACTCAAATTGAACAATTTAAGAACAGTTAATAAAAAGACTATTTACAAAGTAAGAGTTGGGTTTAGGAAATCATAAGGAGATAGTGTGGTACCCAACTGTAGGCCTCTAGCCCACCCCTCTCTCTGAAAGGCCAGAGGGCGAGAGCTCACTGGAACTGGGAGGGGCAGCCCAACAGGAGCTATGGCCCTCGGCAGAGGGAGAGCCATGGGTCGCAGCACAGAAGGGACTGAGGGGCCCTCTGATCCGGTGCCTCCCATCAGCAGAGCCCACCTGGAAGTCAGCAGCCCAGGAAGAGGCTGGTGCCATCCCTGCAGCTTGGCCCCCAGGACTTGGAACAGGAAGCGCCAGAGGGAATGGAATCCCAGAGGCTCATGCAAATGGAAACACTAGAGTAGTCATTGTGGTTTTCTACTACTCTGTTCCTTTAAAAATGTGTGTCCAACCCATGACAGAATAAAATTTTAGAAAGTGAGCAGTTTTCCTTCTTTTATCTCTGATGTAAATATATGTAAAACTTTGGATTGTCATAATACTAAAATAGTTGCAAAACAATGGCAATAAGGTGAAACATTGAGTCTCTTGGTGGGCCCTGAGCCTCACTTTATGACCAGAGCTGTTGAATAGCCACTGCAAGCTGGAGAAGCGGGGGCTGATGGGAGAAGGAGTCACTCACTCCATTTAGAAGCTTATTCAGAGGATCCTTTGGGGAGTTCTCCTATGTCACTGGTGTGAGTCAACAGCCACTTTCTTTCCTGACTCACTGTGGCCACAGATGTGTTTAGACACATCTCAAATTGTGAGTGGCCCTGGAAGCATGCGTGGCACTGCTCTTCCTTCATGCTGACTGCACACGTGTTTGAGGAATACATTGAATTTGTCTCAAGCCATTACACTAGTACCCACAGTATTTTCTTGAAATTACTAACCCTACTCATTAGTTTTTACATGTGTCAGCAAATATATAATTACAGAATAGTCTGGAATTTTTCTTCTTCCCTTTTTTCTGTCAGTAAACTAACAAAATACTTTTATTTTTTATTCTGAAAATTGCCAGGCATGAGTCCAAAATCAAACTGAAACTGAGGAGAGTTTCACATTTAATTGACAGTTGTTGCTAAACAGTAGTTAAACATTACTTTTATGCCTTTAACTGCCAAGGAGAGTAAGGAGAAGTAGTAATTCAGTAACTGGGAGGAAGAGAAGACCGGAAGCTTACTAAAGACAAAGGCACTGAAGAAAATTCAGTGACAACCCCTCTCACAGAATCTGTTTTAGGAATCTGGCATTTTTTTTGTGTGTGGACTCTGTGGAAAATGGCTTTCGCTTCCACAGTAGCTCCATCGTGCTGGAGTAACTGAGTCTGAGGCATGATGTGAAAATGGCATGTTGGGGTTTCTATCTTCCCAGAGTATAGAAGACGGCGTCAGCTGCATTAAGTCAGTTTACTAGATTAGGTCAGGTCTAGGTCAGGACCTGATTTTCCAAAGGAAAATCTTTCCATGTGGCCCGACTACCAGCTCAAGTCTGAAATCCCATGTAATGAAATACAGCCTGTGGGTGCCTGTGCTGCATGAGTGGCTGGTCTCCTGGGCCTGTGTGAGGCCCAGAACCGCAGCCGGTGATGGTTTCCTGGTTCACAAAACTTCTGTTGTGTCTGCCCTCAGGTGGGAAGCCCCCAGCAGAAACCCAAGCGTCTACGCCTGGTGGTGGATGTGTCTGGCAGCATGTACCGCTTTAACGGGGTGGACGGCCGGCTGGAGCGCTCCATGGAGGCTGTGTGTATGGTGATGGAAGCCTTCGAGAACTATGAAGAGAAGTTCAAGGTAATGGCATGAACTAGAATGGTGGAGCCATCACTGACCACGTCTGCCCAAGAGGCAGCCGACTTAAGGCACGATGGATAGGTAGATACCGGCTCCACCCAGAGGGACAGAAATCTTCATATTCTCATCAATTCACCTATCAGCATAGCGAACATGAGCCTCTGGTTTTATCTGCTGTAATAATAAAAACATGATAATGCCAGAATTTGAAGGCGCACTTACTACAGAAGAAAGCACTGAACTTTACAAGTTGTGTGATGTTAGCTGTAATGTTAGGAGAGAGAACAGCAGGCTCCTAGAAGAACCACAAGACTCTTCCCCACATTTCTCAGATCCACCTTCCTCATTCCAGTTTCCCCACCACACCCCCATTCTCGCCCATCACCAACCAGGCAGCCTCCAAGGTTTGGGAGCATCTCAGAGTATGCTGTTCTTAGCACTGCATTGCCTCTCCATTTGGGCGACGGTTACACAGTAACTGGTGTCTCCCCAGCTGACAGCGAAGATGGTAACCCTGGGAGACGTGCAGCCTCCACTCAGATGTCCCCATCCTGCTGTTGCTTGGTGTGCTCCGCATCCTCCTGCAGAGTCTGAGCCCTGAGAAGGGGTTCCGTGGAGCCGGGTTACTGCCTGAGATGCGCCCATTGGTCCTCTTTTATTTTGCAAGCCACAGAGAGCACTCACACTCCAGCTCTTTCCAGAGCAAGTAGCTGTGAATCGGAAGTTCGGGTGAAAAAAATGGTGCATGTGCAGACATGAGCGAGGGGTACACAGTCTGTCCATGGACATGCCAGATTGTATTCTGGATCAGGTATGTCCCTCGGGTATCAGTGAGCTTAGATCATTATTTGGCTTGACATCCCACCTAGACTTCAGGATTGCTGGGTGTTAGTGGATACAGCAAGAATGCCGAAACCCATCGCCTCAGTTACTGTAGGCCAGTTTGTGAGGCTCGGAGTCTCCCAGGTCCCTTTGGGATTAATGGTAGGAAAAGGGATGCTCTGGGTCGCCAGGCTCGGTAGAGCACAGGATACCAATACAAATAGAACATGGACTTTCACTGGGGAGCATAGCTTTGTTTCCCTTAAAAAGGTGGAATGTATTTTCCCTGTGACTAGTGAAAACGAGGGAACTATTGAAGATTCCCTCTTGGTTTCATTGCCAGGAAGCTCAGAGCTAAAATCAAAGACCAGCCCTGACCCTTTGTTATGTCTTACGGCTTGCAGACCGGTGCTCAGCTTTTCCTTCCTTTGACCCTCCCTCCCTTTAGATATACCTTTTCCTTGATTTTGATATTTTTACCTTTTATGGATTTATGGAAAATGTTTGTTTTTTTAAAATATGTTTTTATTAATTTCAAAGACAGGAAGGGAGAGTGTCTGGCGGGAAGGAGCAGGGGCAGGACAGGGAAGGCATACCCAAGTCCTGCCTGCAAATGCCTCATCATGCCCGTGGACTTCAGAACCGGGGTCGCCTCACAGGTTGACTGGCGTTTCCTCCCTCCTCAGACAGGAAGCAGACCCAGAAGCATCACGGGCTTTTCCCAGTCGAAGGCTAAGTGGAGACAGGGTGGGATGGAGCCCGGGGCTCTTCTGATTCTTTTCCCTTTTTTTGTTTTCTAGTTTTGTTTTGTTTTTACACTGCCTCTTTACTTCTCAACTTTTGAAAAAAAATTTAAACCTACAAAAAAGTTGAAAAAAGAGTAAAATTAACACCCATATGCCCTCACTTAGATTCACCAATTGTTACTATTTCCCCTCTTTGCTTTGTGTTTCCCTCTAAATATATATATATTCAGCCCCACACCCTGAATCATTTGAAAGAAAATTATAAACACCACAATGCATTACTTCTAAATACTTTATTCTGCTTCTCCTAAGACTAAGGGCATTCTCGAATAACGCAGCCTCAGTACAAGGATCACATCTAAGAAACTATCAATAATTTCATAACATCTTCTAATATCTAATCTAAAATTAATTTTCCCAACTATCCCAAAAGGGTCTTTTCTACTTGTTCCCCTACACACACACACACACACACACACACACACACACACACACACAACCCAGGACCCAGTCAAAGCCCACACCTTATTTTTGGTGGTAATGGCTCATTCGTCTCTTATCTGGAACAGCCAAGGCCACTCAGCTTTTCATGAAGGTCACTGTCTTGAGAGTCCAGACGAGCTGTCCGTAGACTGTCCTTCATTCTGGATTTGACTGGCTCTTTCCTAATAGTGCCATTTACCTCGTCCCAGTGTCCCCTGTATCACCAGAATCCTAACAAGCTTTCCCCCATGCCAGATACACTGGGACTTTCTTAATATTCCCGCCACCCCTGCCAACATATCTAAGACTCTGAGTGGCGACAGGCCACCCAATCTCTGCTGGGGCTGTCTAGACCTCCTTTGCAGAGGGTGTAAAGGGGGGTGGATTTGGGGTATCTTCTCTAAGACATTTGATGCATGAACATCAGTGACAGCATAGCATTCTCCTCTGCTCTGTCCTTACATCACGTGATTATATTCAACTGATTTCATCTCTCTGTGCTTTCATTTTCTCTTATGAAAGAAGCATAAGAACTAGGAATAAGTCATGAAGGTATGGAATTTACTCAGCAATATAAAGTGATGCATGAGCAAAAGACAGTTTTAGGAGCTCCTGGTGAAAATGTATATTCCATAACCCAGGAGGGCACTGCATGTGGTGTCTCGGAATTCAGAAGTGTGCTCTGAGACCCCATCCAGCTCCAGACAGTTGTTCATCGCCTTCCTGCAGTTGTCCCTCTGCCGTGAAGGTGTCTAGTCTGAATTTGCTTTGAAATCGTCAGAAGCCACAGTCCTGGCCAGTGATCTGGGCTCTCCCCCTGAAACCTCTCTCTTGGCCTCTGCTGTGTGTTTTGTTTGGCTTGGCGCTCGGTCATTACAGTCCAAGAGGCTCATTAGAGTCAGCCCATGTTTTATTCTACCTCAGCACGACCCTGGCCAAGCCACAGGGACCCTGGAGCAGGAGTGACTGAGCAGGAAAGGGAATTCCGTGGCGGGACACATTTCAGAGCCATTGGGGGTTTAAAAGTTGCTCGTAATTGTTCTACCAACGGAATTCAGTTCTCTGGAATAGCATTTACATTAGGTCACTTAAGACAGGAGAAATATCGTTTGCTAATAATCAGCAGAAACTCCTCTAGTCTTTCAATCAGCAGAGTTTATAAACATAAGAGTAAGGAGTAGAACGGTAACGGTTTGTGAACCATTTTATTTCCATCAGAAAGCATGTCTTTCCTTTATCTTTATCCCGGTGTGGCCTTGTGATTTCTCCAAGCCCCTGGGAATGTTTCACCATAACTTTAAGTTAGACCTCCTCTTCGAAAACTCTTAGTGCCTTAATTTTTTTCTTCAAAAAAAAAAACCACCAAAAGTTAGATGACTGATTCTGCACAAAACACTCAAATAATGATACCAGAAAGCAGATTTATTTAGTTAATGCCAACTTGGATTTTTAGGGGGGAAAGTACTCAAACTTACTGTTTGTTTTTGTTTTTTTATTGATTTTTTACAGAGAGGGAAAGAGAGGGAATAGAGAGTTAAAAACATCGATGAGAGAGAATCATCGATCAGCTGCCTCTTGCACACCTCCTCCTGGGGATGTGCCCGCACCCAAGTACATGACCTTGACTGGAATTGAACCTGGGACCTTTCGGTTCGCAGGCTGACACTCTATCCACTGAGCCAAACCGGTTTTGGCTAAAACTTACTGTTTTTGTGGAGACATATAAACCATAATCTAAGGCCATGGTTTCCTAGCAGTGTGACAAAGATCCCTGGAAGGGTGGTGGGCAAGGGTGAGTGGCAGCTTCTATTTCTTCCCTCCCCATCCCCAACTCAACCCCAATTCCACTCGTATTGATAGGACCCAGTTTCACAATCTGGGCTTTTGAGCAATATTTCATGTGGAGGAGTTCCACTGCTTAAAAAAATTTTTTTTAAGCTAGAAAACCACGATTTTAGGGCCAGTACTGGACTGTGATTTCTTTTTAGAAACAGGTTTATCAGTTTGGTTTAGATTATTCAAACCCTGAACAGGAAAAAACAAGGCACAGATGTTCCTATGACTAAGTAAAGCAGACGTTTTACTCCATTTCTTGGGTGTTCCACTGAATTTTCATAGAACCTTGGGGATAGGAATAACCTTGGGAATTATTTTTAAATTCTTTGTTTTACAGATGAGAAAATCAACACCAGAGAGGTTAAATGCTTTGCCCAAGGAAACACAGCAGGGCTTCTGACTCCCACACCAGGGCTATTTCTTAGTTGATGTTTTATCCCTGCTTATTCCCTCCCAATATGTGTTTTTACAAAGCTGTAAGTCAGGAGCTGTACCATTTACAAAAAGTATCTTCCCCTAACACTTCATCATCCCAAGGAGGTAGAATAGGCATACTTTTCTCAAAGTTATCTTGATTAGAAAGATGGGGTTAACTTACAGAAGGATATGGAAAGATATGACTCACAAACCAACTCCTGCTGGGAATTATTTTTATCAAAAACAGTTTAGTGTATTTTCCCCATGCATTGGAAATGTTTCACACATTTATTTTTTTTTTTTTTTTTTTTTTTTATTTTACATATTTTATTGATTTTTTTTTTTTTGCCCCCCTCCTTCCCTCCCATGTATCCCCTCCCTCCCCAGAGTTTTATGTCCATTGGTTGTACTTATATGCAGGTATACAAGTCCTTGGGTTGATTTATTGTCTCCCCCAGACCCTCCTCCCCTCCCCGTTGTAATTTGACAATCTGCTTGTTGCTTTACTGTCTCTATATCTATCTTTTGGTTCATCAGTTTATAATGATCTTTATTATCCACAAATGAGTGGGGTCATGTGGTGTTTCTCTTTCATTGATTGGCTTATTTCACTCAGCATGATGTTCTCCAATTCCATCCAGGTTGCTGCAAATGATGAGAATTCCTTCTTTTTTATGGCAGCATAGTATTCCATTG